AATAGCCAAAATCGCCCTTTAATAAGTAGCCAAAATGGCCCTATTTTAATGGGGCCAAAACGGCCCCATTAAAATGGGGCCGTCTCAGGGTCAAAATTTTGGCCCCATTTTAGGGGCCAAAATGGCCCTTTTGAAATTACTGTGTATATATTTTTTCCACGTTACCAAATATATTTGTTTGTTTGTTCAGGCCTAGAAAATATATTTATCTTCCTGGCAGCAAAATTCAAAAATTAAAATTTCCTGTGTAAGTCAACTATAAAACGTCGTTCCTATGTAGATTTCAGAGAACGTGTGGACTATGATGGCGCACACCTCGACTTGCAAAATGCTTAATTTGGAATTTTTAAACAATAAGTAAATTATATGGCGTCTTGTATATAAGATGACAAAAATTTCCTGCAAGATGCAAGAAAATTTCCTGCGAAGATGTTTTGTTAAACATTTCCTGGCAGCGGTGCTGCTGGCTCTGCCGGACATTTTCCAGCACTGTGTTTGTTAATAGTCGTTGTTATAGAAGGTCCAGTGTAAGATTAGCTATGCTAAACTGGTTTTTGTAATACCTTCTTTAAATAAAGTCTATTATTATTATTATTTATTGTTTTTTGCTCAAACGTAATTCACAATTGCAAAAATGATAATAATAGGCGATCACAGTTTTCCTGGTTACGAGAAATGATACCACTTTGATAGAGAATATGTCCACAATGGTTAAATTAACACATAGACAGTTCGCTGACTGTACACCAGCTTTTTTTTAATGCTTTACTCATGCATGTATTACATAATTCGCACAATTACATTTTCGATTATTATTTGAAAACCTGATTATCTATATTAATTATGCACCAGTGATTACTTATCCTAACCTTAATTAACCATGATCATAATCTAATTATAAATCAATCTTAATCAAAACCCTGATCCTAAGTTTAACCCCCCAATCCTAACTTAATACTAAAGTACTAAAAAACTGAATTTTTACTTATAATATTGTTCATCAAAGTTATTGTGACAACATTTCAGGACATATGGAAAGTTATTTGGTATACTAAAAGTCCTCTCTAAAAGTCATTTTCTAGTGATTTATCTTACCAACAAAGAGCTGACTGCGGCCAAAAGAACAACATATGCAAACGAATATGTTACCTTTTTCGACCCGGAACACTGGCAGCTGCTATAAACATCACCACTGCTCTCTCCATACTTATCCAACATACACTGGTAGCGACAATATGTACGTGACTGGTCAGTGCAGTAGTGCTTGCCGTTTGTCTTTAGTTTGATGTACGAGTTTGTGCGACAAGTAAGCCATTGGTAGTCGTTGTACGCTGGCAGTTTGACACATTGTCTAGCTCCATCCGGCCCGTTATCAGCATCACATTCGTCTGCTTTGGGCTTTCCATTTCCATTGTTTTCTTGGAATTTTAAGGATTTGATATTGAACGCATGTTCTTCGCATTTCAAATCTAAGCAACCATTCAATTTCGTGATTTCAACACTCTCTCCATCAATTTTCAAATTAAGAGCTCCATTCAAAACATCTTTCCCCAATTGTATCAAAATTTCGGTGAGGTTGGCTGATTGCTGTGAAGGTGATGTGCTGGTATCTCTGCGTTCATATTTAAAACGATCAGCTACAAGTAATCTTATCGACATGATATTCCCATCCTTCTCTGCATAAGCAAACCAAGCCACGCTATTGTCTTTCCACATTTGCTCCGAGGCCAATACATCCACGATCTTTCCTGCAAATTGCGATCTTGCAATTTCTCTATCATCTGGGACTGAGCGCTTTCTTCGTGTAGAAACCTTGTCCCAATCATCGTCTCTTAAAAACATGGAGAGTTGAATTGGGGAAACAGAATTTTGTACCCAAACTTTGATTCGCACATTCATTTCTCGGATTACATCATTTAGCTGGATTATGGTATGGCAAACAAACTGAGCTTAAACGTAGCGAAAACTGAATTTCGATTAATTGGCACTAAACATATCCTCAAAAAAGTTAGTGATTACTAGCCAGTGATAACTATTCTAGATAAACCAATAAAGCAAGTTTTTCAGTGCAAAACTCTAATAGTTACTGTTGACGAAAACCTTGGAAAAGTAACACTGAGAGTATATCGGTATAGTAAAATATCATTAGCTGGAATATATATGCTCTCAAACAAATTAAAAAGTTTGTTGATCAAAAAACACTCATATCGGTATACAATGCTTTGATCCAACCCCAGCGTACCGAATAATGCTGATCGCCAGTAAAAGAACAGTTCGAACAGTTTGGAAAAGAGTTTCATGTATGACGGAGCTTTCATACGGAACTCTTTGTCAGAAAATATTTGAGAAAGCAAAACGCTATCAATCTTCTAAAGCAAAATCGCTACCCATTGTTATCAAAGCATAGTTGTAAATAGTCCCGATGTGCCACCAGAAATAAAGTCCACAGAACTTAGGCCAGTTTTCCACGTGCGAATTTTTTCGTTACGTAACGTTACGTGATTGTTGTATGGAGCGAAAATTCGCCAACCGTTCGTTGCGGCGAGAATAGCAATTCGAATGGTTTCTGCTTTTTCGCGGCGAATTAAATCTCTAGCCAATCAGATTTCAGAATTTTTATCTCGTCTGTCATCTTTCAAAATGGCAGAGAGTTGTGAAAGTGGTGATGTTTGCGGCGTTTTAAAAATATCTATCTATTCCGCATGCATGATATTCTGCACGGCCATCATTCATTGATTTGCACCAAGAATGAGGGATGGGCAAGGACGTAGTAGCCTGCGAACAGGCTTTAGGGTCTACTTGTAGGAACTCCCAATCATCGTCTCTTAAAAACATGGAGAGTTGAATTGGGGAAACAGAATTTTGTACCCAAACTTTGATTCGCACATTCATTTCTCGGATTACATCATTTAGCTGGATTATGGTATGGCAAACAAACTGAGCTTAAACGTAGCGAAAACTGAATTTCGATTAATTGGCACTAAACATATCCTCAAAAAAGTTAGTGATTACTAGCCAGTGATAACTATTCTAGATAAACCAATAAAGCAAGTTTTTCAGTGCAAAACTCTATAGTAGTTACAGTTGACGAAAACCTTGGAAAAGTAACACTGAGAGTATATCGGTATAGTAAAATATCATTAGCTGGAATATATATGCTCTCAAACAAATTAAAAAGTTTGTTGATCAAAAAACACTCATATCGGTATACAATGCTTTGATCCAACCCCAGCGTACCGAATAATGCTGATCGCCAGTAAAAGAACAGTTCGAACAGTTTGGAAAA